TTTTAAAAATATTGATTGTCCATTTCTTTGTGATTTATTCGTTTAATTTGGAATTGTAATCAAGTACAGAAAAAAATTTTACTTTGCGTTCTATGAAAATTGCGTTATACATAAATACCTCAATTATATCCCGCGAAAAATTAAAATTTATAATGTAGACAAAATTAAAAAATTAAGAATAAAAAATTTCTCAAAAAACCGGCCGCGAAAACATAAAGATGCGTTATTATGCATGTTTTTCAGGCGATACGCATCTCGAAAATATATCAAATAAGATATACAGAATAAATGACGTGAGATCCAAGAAAAAGAACTTCCCCCACACGTGGTATTATAATTAATGAATAATCCCGTTGTTCTAATTGAATAATATATGCAAATCTTTATAAACTTTTGTATCGATATAAATATATCTCGTTATATTTTTCATTTTCTACCAAAATTATTGTTAACATATTCATATACATATATTACTGCATGCAAAATTGAATATATAATTGTATTATACGATCAATTCTAAAATAATTTAAAAAGTTTCAGCGTTTCTCGCGACAGAATATTTACAATCTCACGTCATATATTACTTGATTAGTATAAAGTCAATTTCTCAATCAAAAATAGATGGATAGGCTACAAAAAATTAGGGTAAAATCGGTTAAAATAAACTTTAGTAATTAATAACCATTATATCGCGTTTTCTATAAAATAAACTGCATAATAAAACCAAAATATTTCTTATCCTTTTTATTATACATATATCTATATATTGCTTTCTTGCATCGATTTTTATAATATTTAATCTTGGCTAAGTACATGGAAAGGAATAGAAAGGTATAAATAACATAAATCCTAACTAATTAATAATTTTTCCCTATCTATAGACAGTTTTATTTATAGCATAATATTTTACTCTTTTCTCTTTTGTTCAAGAAAAATAATACAAAAATAATTTTATAAAAGATTTAAATAAAAATTGTATATTTTCAAAATCATTACTTTAATTGTGTGATAGTATTACTTTACTTCTTATTTGTTTGTGTTTCTCAAAAATATTTATTACTCTAATTGTAAGTTGAATTGATCTACGTAACAAAATTTTGAAAATTTAATTTACTGTGTAATTTACTAATTTAAATTCGCGAAATAAAATTCTGATTCGATATAATATTTTATTTAAGATTTAAAATTTTATTAAAAAATTATTAATATAGAACGCGAAGATTTATCAACGTAATTCAACGATAATGAGCTCTGTGCGAGCTCTATGCGTGCGAAGTGTGCGAGTATTTCCTCAAGCACAATCGCATAATACATCATCAAATATTAAGTGACCAAGATTAAATATTTGCCATAATTAGTTTTAGCCCATCCATTTTAAGGCAACGTATCTACGAGATATAATAAATTTATACTATAATCTATTGTCATAATTCGACATGTACCGAGATATATTTGTTCTGTCTTTGATTAATCGTAGATTCGTTGCCTAAGTAAAAAACAAAATTCTGACTCACCAATTAACCCGATGCGCAACAGGCGGAGTTATTCACGTAGCTACGATACTGTAACATACAAACATAAAATTCAAATTAAAGAAGCTTTCAAAATGATCAATATTTCAAAAGATAATTCTTACGTGACTCTAATTTATCTTTCAATAAAAATATTTACTAATACAATTATCTATTTACCGAAAAAGATCTTTACAAGAGTAAAATTTTAGATAAATTTTCTTTTTCTAATTATTTTTACTTTATCGAGATAAAACAATCTAAATAAATGGAAAATAATTATTAATGATGAGAAATGATACTCACCCCAAGGTTGCTCCGTCGGTGCCCGATGTCTCTCTCAGACCTCCTCCTCCTCTCAGGACGCCCGGCTTCCTCCTCTCACCGCACAGGACACTCGCGAGAAACACTCGCGGATGATAAACTACAATCGCGCGCGGACTGATTTCATTAAAAGTCTTTCTCGCGCGATACTGTACGGCACTCCCGTTTAAAAAAGTCCTCTAGTCCGATTACTTGAACGGCACTCCCGATGCAAACACGACGAACCGGCTGCGGTTCGTTCATTCAATTAAATCGGCGGACGAGGGTACGTTAGCTTCCCCGTCTTTGGATTCTTATCCAAGCAGAACAAGAGTTTTGCTTGGGTAAAATCCTCGTACTGAGTACTGAGCCTTCCCACCTCGCCAAGGTCGTACCCGTGGGAAGGAAGCATATCTTTACTCTGTAATACAAAAGCAGCTAGGTAACAATTTTTCGTGCAAATTTGAAGGAGTCGCGACGCCGATTGCTCCGATTCGTTCCGCGTTCATCACCGAGCGTTACGTTAATGCGACACGAAATGTTCCAAGGTGTCGGCAACTTGGCGCGATACTACGCAAGTCGAGCGGACGGTTAACAAAGGCACGCACTTGATTGAAATTAAATATCACACTCACAGCACGTACGGTATCAAATTCGTAAATCTCGCGAAAGTAAAACCGCATTATTAATATGCACGACGAAGAATCGTGACTGCCGGCCGCTAATTTACGCGACGCGAGATGTACACGGAGATTACGAAGCATTCACGAAACGAGCGCGATGTATCACGGCGTTCCGTTACTCGAATCATTCGATACGGCACTGTCACTCAGCCCTCTTTTTCCCTACGGAGAGAATCGGAGATAAATCACACGACACGACAATTCCGGCACACAGCGTTCGAAGCACGACGCGAGATAAATGAATGCGCACATTCGCGATTCGCGAGTCCAGACATGGCGGGACGAGCGACTATCACGACCGCGAATGTCACAGCGAAACTGCACATCGTTCACAATTGCCGTTCACATACCTTCGCCTCGACGTCTCGAGTGAGCGATTCGCGCGACACGTTATTCATTATTCCGACAGACACCTCTTATACACTCGTAAATTGTTGAACACACACGGCGCGATACTCGCGTAGCAATTATTCCCGCGGCCCGCGAAACGAGGAAGCAGGGATGCCAATCACTGAAACGAGTGCGTTCCGAAATCAGCACGAAGCACGGTGACAGGCGCGTTCCCGGAGCACAATCACTTCCTACCCGTGCGAAATTCCTCGGGAGAATGATAGCTCAGTCACTCACGCAGGTAACAGTACTTCGAGCGTCTACGGCAGCAACTGGCAAGTCCGCTCATCGTCAGAATCAACGCCGAAAACACGCCGATTATCGAGACACGCAATTTTAGTTCAACGGTCGCGCGGCTAGTGCGGACGCACTGGTGGCGCGGTGGCAGTATGTACGCCGCCGAGCCGTATCGATCCGCCGCGTCGGCGGGACGTGATTGGCCAGATCTGGGGGCTCGACTTACGAGCCAATTGCGTTCGAGGTGTCGCCCGACTGTGCGGCGGCAACAGCGCGCACAAGAATTGCAATTATAAATATAAAATTATAAATGTCAAATAGAGCAAGCACAAGACTTAGTTTTAACTTTAAACTTGTTTTCTGCAATGTTAAAACTAGCGTGTTTATGTTTATTGCACCATAAATCAATAACACACTAGGAAATTGGTTAATTATGCGTTAATTCTCAATAGCGTTTAATAATTTTTCTACATTTTTATTTATAATATTAATTATAATATAAAAATTTAAATATTGTTTTTACGTTTACGCGCCAATAAATGGTTTCTCCGTATATGTGGTATATATGTTATATTTCAAAAATTTTTATATAACAGAGAAGTCTTTAAAAATAACTTATTTTTATTTTATCAAGACGGACAAGCAATTAGTAACAATTAGGACCCGGACACACACTTTTTCGTAACACGTACAGCCGTGCGTTCTCAAATCGAGCAACGCGCGTGGTCGAAACTTTACTGTTACTGTTACGAAGAAGTGTGTGTCCGGGGCTTTAGTAACAAGCAACTTCGTTTTCAGTAGAGGGAGAAATGAGCATGCGTACTTAATTATTACAACAAAGAGATTGCGTAGTATATCTTCAGGCTTTAAGAACGTTACTATTTAGTGCGTCAGAGCAGTATAAGGGGAGACCGGGGCTAGAAGTAGAAGTCACACAGGTAAGTTATCACAAAGCTTATATCTTGTTTAATAAATTGAGTGGAATATTCTTTTTTATAGTGTAAGTTGCTCCTATCGTGTTAGTCAGATGTACGAAATAGCTCGTTTTAAAAACATCGCATGTGATATTTACGAGCACTTTTTAAAAATTGGAGGTCGTGAGTCTTTTGCCTTTATTTTTATTGTTCCGTTGGTTTTTGGAATTATTAGTAGTAATTTCTTTTTGGTCATAAGAAATATTATAGTTTTAGATAATTCTCCCTATATAGTTAACCGTCGTTGCAACATAGTTTATAAATATAATTTTTTTTGTATAAAATGACCGTAATTAATTAGTAATTATTTTTGTAAACTTATTTTTAGGCCTTGTGTTACTATTTCGTGTAAACAGTAAACTCACGGTGATCGTTTGTGATTTTAGTAAAAAACAATAATTAATAATTATAATAATATCTTTGTCGTTAAACTGGAATGGATTACGTCGTTCAACTAAAATACGCTTGATTCTACCACAATATGCTATATCACTTGAATATTTCTGTTTTTAAATAATTGATCGATTAATTTAAGGAGAAAAGCCGAGTACTCATTATAATTACGATTTGAACGTAAGACTTAAATATCTCAGAATTCATAAATTCGCGTTTTTATTCAACGCGCGTATATGTATGTATTATGTGTTTTAATTAATCGTCATATATATATATATATATATATATATATATATATGTATATATATGTGTGTGTGTGTATATTGTGATTCATAAAACAAATCAATATAATTTAGACAATAATTAATTAAAACAACTTTTTATTTCAACTTTTCATTTCAACTTCTTTTTCTTGGTTGAATTGTATAAAACTTCATTTAACTATATAAATGACTTTATTCGAGCCAGTTTTCTGCAATTGACGCAATATAATATCATTTCAAGATTATATATTGCTGAGTATGTACAAGTTTATCAGTGTTGATTTGATAATTCTTTCTGTATATGTGAAAAAACGCAGCAAAATTATCAGACTTTGAAAATAGGAGATTAATTAAAATTTTATTTTTAAAACTGTTGTATTAAATTTTGTTATATAATTTGGTTACATAAGTCTCTTCTCTGATTCGTATATAAGTCTTAACACACAATTTAATACTAAAAAAAATTACTACAAGTAGCAAAAGAGTACTGCTTGTTATCATAATTTAATGCAATGATATATATAATGATATAAATTACTCAACCATATACCAGTAAAACTATTCTATAACTCTTAACGACAGTTTCGTTATCGTATTGGTTATATTGTCGTTGCGTAGCTTTTTTGCCATATGCCTGCGCAGCTTTCGAGCACATATTTTTTACGATTAACCATTATTTTCTCAATGATATGCTAATATGTCTTTTCAATCTCGTAAATTATAAAAATGTTACATTTTCTTTAATTATACAAATACAAAAAAAAATATTTTTATAGAGAAGCTGCGAAATGGCGCTCATAACGGAGTACTGGACCCTGGATGGCATAATAATTCTAACAATTCTCATTATAATCGCTTACCTTTACATGACTCGCAATTTCAAGTACTGGAAAAAACGAGGCGTTCTGGAAATACCGCCCACACCTTTCGTGGGCAATTTTATGGAATGTCTACTTCTACAGAAACCCCCGTCGTATTTCCTAAAAGATCTCTACGAGCGAGCGAAAGACGAACCTTATATAGGTTTCTACATTTTTGACAAGCCCTTCTTGTTGCTTCGCGATCACGAACTCATTAAGCACGTCTTGATAAAAGACTTTAATATTTTCTTCGATCGATACGCCACGGGCAATCCAAATGATCGTATTGGTCACGCCACTCTCTTCTTCCTTAAAAATCCAGCTTGGAAAATTATAAGAACGAAATTGACATCTTTCTTCACATCCAGTAGACTGAAGAAAATGTTTGGCCTGATGCTAGAATGCGGGAAGCATTTAGATGAATATCTTGACTCATTAAAATTGAATGGTAAGTTGGAGTATACGCATATATTGAACATTCATGAAATAAAAAATGTAGAAAGAAGATGAAGTTTGTGACTATAACTATTATACAATCATCTGTAAAGTTTTTGTAGTATTAAAATATTTTATGTTATTGTACACACGAAGATGTTTGCTCGTGATAATAAAAATGCGAGAATTAGAGTAGATATCTACAGCTAAACAGATTGAATTAACTGATGACATTGCCGGCAGATAAGGGACAAATAATGGACGTAAGGGATGTGAGTTCCAAATTAACTATGGATGTAATCTGCAATACTGCTTTTGGACTTGACGTGAACACGTTCAAAGATCCGAACACTGATTTCCGCAGATATGGCAAAATGATGATAAAAAATAATTACGTGCGCGGCTGGGAATGGCTTGCAATGTTCTTCCTTCCGGGTATAACTCGTATGGCTAATCTGAAATTGTTCGGTGAGGAGACCACCGTCTTTCTGCGCAAAATTTTCTCGGAAACAATCACTAGACGCATGGAATCTGGCGAGAAGAGATACGACCTCATCGATATTTTGATCGAGCTCAAGAAGAACAATAGCGATGAAGAGGTTGAAGGCTTCAGTAAGTGAAATAATTATATTTATATAGCTTATATATAAGAATAAATAAAGATGTGTAATATAACGGCTTGCGATAACAACATCAGAGTAACCGACAAGTTTGATCGATAATCACGATAAACGAATTTAATTGTAGTAAGTATCAAAAGTCTTCAAACTCTAACAGATTAATTAAATTTTAGAATTCGATGGGGATGATCTCATGGCACAAGCGGCCAGTTTCTTCGCAGCTGGTTTCGATACTTCCGCAATACCGATTGCTCTCACGTTGTACGAACTCGCATTGCAACCTGAAATTCAAAGTACACTAAGAAAAGAAATACTCGAGGCGCTCAACGATTCCGACGGAGAAATCACATACGACATGGTATGCAAGTATGCTGCTCCGTCAAATAATTTTTGTGATAAGCACTACACAAATATAGGTGACACTTTTACCGAACCAAATACTTCTTTCGTCTATCGATTTTATTTCTGAACAAGTTTTTGAACTTATCAAATCTCCGATATATAAGAAAAATACTTATTTACTAGATCAGGTCGCTATCTTATCTGGATATGGTGGTATCGGAAACTTTGAGAAAGTATCCGTCACTAGGATTTCTGAATCGCATGACAATGCAGACTTACGAAGTACCGAACTCTAATCTCGTACTCGAGAAGGGCACGCCAGTTTACATCCCGATGCTTGGCCTACACTATGATCCAGAATATTTCCCCGAGCCTCACAAGTTCGATCCGGAGCGATTCAATGAGGAGAACAAACGTAACAGACCGCCATGCGTTTATTTCCCATTCGGAGAAGGCCCACATGTGTGTATAGGTGTGTATAGGAAATCAAATTTAATTATAGAAAATATAATTATAGAATTGACAGTTTTAATTGAAAAGTTATGAAATAACAAAGTAAAATCACAAATTATTTTTTGTTAGAATAATGTGATAAGTTATATTACATTATTATGGCATTTTGCAGGCAATCGCTTCGGGCTTTTAGTGATAAAGCTAACGCTCATTAAAATCTTGAGTAAATATGAAGTGACACCGTGCGAAAAGACTATGATACCGATGATAGCTGATCCGACAACAAGCTTGACAACACCGTTAAATGGTGTAATATATCTCAATATGCGAAAAATTAATACTGCTGCTAATTAAGATTTGGCAAAGTATTTTTGATAACAAAGTGGTATAATCACATTTTTAAAATTTTAATATATTAAAACTTTTCCATTTCTAGACTAATCTGCAAAAATAAATCGAAAAATAATTTTTAACACGAAAAATTTCAGTTCTTATTTCAATGTGCCCAGGTTGTCGCAGAATGACAGTCGAAAATTTATTTCAACTCTTGGAGTTTACTCAACTCTCTCTCTCTCTTTAAAATCATAGCTCTACAACTATGCCAACGTTAAATCTGAAATATAACTTGCTTATCTCCTGCTAATTACAAAAAGATAATAATATAGAGAGGGATTTTTGTCAAATATTTCTTCGTCACCGGCAGAATGATGGTTTTTCCTTTATTCGTCGACATTGTAAATATATATAGGAGGCAGCCACGAGAGCAGCCGGTCACATGCTGATGCAATGATATATATAATATATACATATACAGCTATGTATATTATCCATTTTCATTCACTTACTCTCATTTACAAAAAGACTAACGATCGACCGTACAGTCAAGCTATACTCGCCGAGCGATCGACCTAGTAGATTTACTTACAATTATGCTTCTCTCTCTGTAACATAACTTATGACATCTTGGAATCGAATGGAATGACTGATACCATGTATCGATAGTATCTTTTATATATATATATTCTTTTCTTCGCGCTCGTTTTGTTCAGCGACGGTGAGTTTTATAGTACGATTTGCAACAATTTCAACTCGTAATATAAATAATACACGCTTACATATATCGCGATGATCGTATACATAAGCAGTTCTATAATGGTTTCCTTTTTCAGATTTAATCCTTCCGATCGCATTTCATATAGGGATGCTTATCATATATATAACTCAATAGAATCGAAGGATTATATCTGAAAACATACACATTCTAACTGTACAGACTACAGAGCTGAAAGAACTGGTTTGTATTTTTTTTTTTTGCACATCAATACGCCTGCGGCCAGAATAATATGCACTAGATACTAGTGCATCAATTAAATATCAAGTATCTTTTTACACTTTTTCTGAAGCATGTCAAAAGCGCCGAAATCACTAAATGAAACAAACTGATCAGGAATAAAATTTTTTCGAAAGTTTTGTTAAAAGTTTAATATATTTATTTCAAACGCTATTTAACTATAAATAAATTACTACAGTGCGATAATTTCTAATTATAGGAAGACGTAAAAAAAATTATTATTTTAATTTAAACATCAATTATTTTGTTTCTTCGCGAAATGCAAAAGTGATAAAGTTATTTCGAATTAATCTAATCGCGATAAATATTCCTGACCAAGTACGAACAAGCGTTCGATCTGTTTCGAGATAATTCTCGTATTAGCGTCGCGAAACAAATATCATCAACTCTAAATACGATCGCGCAAAGGAAATAAATACGCCGCCACTGAACAACAGCAATAAATCAGTACACCTCCTCCGCAATGCGCGTGTGAGATTTCCATCGATACGTTTACACACATAATTATACACGCTTCATCCGTACACAATATCGTAATATCGTATAATGTAATATCGATAATAACGTTATAATATCGCGCTAAAACTCGCCCGCGAGCATTAATTGTATTTTTGTTCTTCTCCTCTTAGCTCCTCTCGTATATCAGGTAAATATATATAATCTATTTATTCATTTATGTATATATAATTACTTTTGTTCACTATGTATATATGCATGTACGTATATACGCGTATATATTATGCATACATATACACACAGATGTATATAGGATATTTCATTTTTATCGAATTATCTTATTATCGATATAAATACAGATATATGCATCACACACATATGTCTGTACATATACATATACGAGATGTATATACACATTCTCACATGCATTCAAGTTACGTCGTAGTACGCATAAATTTCATGTAATTAATATTCTCCTAACGATGAGACCGATGCAACGATCACGATTGATTTACTTCTTTCTTTTCTCTTGGCAATCGGTGACTTAATTTAACGCCTTGTGGGAAAGGAACTGCGAGAGACAGAGAAACGGATCTCGCAAACATGAAGTGTTCACGTGATACAATTTATTTGAGTTCACGAAGAATGCACATCGAGAAATTTCATATTAGAATTCGAGATCACTACGATACACGAAGCTGTAAAAATATTAGACACAATCTGAAAATGTTGTCAACAAAGCTGCATAATTTAACATCTTTATAGCCGCGTTTTACTCAAATGTGCGCACTGTGCGTCGAGATTTAGCTCACGCTACTTCTATGAACATCTCATACGCCGCTATGGAAATAACATTTTGCGTGAGCTTGTTAATTATTTTAATAATTATTTATCAAACACTCAAAAGAATTCCGAATAAAAAATAACGTTATTATAACGGATTACTTTTGAGTAGCAATTGGTATCGATGTTAACATAAAGCAATTGTTTACCTAATGACTAATGATGTAATTTAATCATCGTTTAACAAACCAAATTCATTTCCTGTCAACATCAAGGCGTCTTATTTTTATTGAATACGTAAGGAAAGCGTGGAAGCAGTAAATATTTTCTTCAGAAGCAAAACTTCTAAAACTTCCCTTCATTTTTTTATAAATGCTAATATTAGCTCTAAAATGAACCTTTTTAATAATTGGTAACTTTGGTTAAACAAGGTTGTCGTATACGCAATGAATCTATAAAATTTAGGTATAAAGACATAACAATAAATAAAGTCATGCGTGATAAACACCGATT